TTGCTCTCGTGATATTCGTGGCATTCGTCCGTTTTGCATCCCAGCGGTTCGCAACAACCAATAAAAACACGTTTTCGTGTTGTTCAAATCATTATTTTACCGTCTATTTATAACAGTGCTGTTCACGGTTGTTCGAACAACTAAAAACAACTTGTTCTTTTATCAATGTTGTTCACGCTTGTTCGAACAATATTGTTGACGCCTGATGAATGAACAACGCTGAACAACATTGTTCTGACAACATTTATCAAGCATGTTTCATCAACCTTGTCGGACGCTTGTTCCATCATGTTGCAACAACCATTGTTCGCTCATCAAGCGTGAACAAGTTGTTGGAACAATGTTGTTAACGATTGTCGCTTGAACAACGTTGTTCAGCCATGATAACCTCATTGTTGCAACGTTGTTCAGCGAACAATGTTGCAACAGGTTGATCAACTTTCCCCGTTGAAGTCTGTATAAACCGGCAAGTGTTTGCAAGCATTGCTACAATATAAGGGCCTTTAACTTTGCTCTAAACGTCGAGAAGCATTCAACTATTTTACTTCATTTATACCATTAAGGCTTGGATATTTATACTTTTAATATATGAACAACGACTTTATTATGTACAATATACATAGTTCAACAGCGTTCTTATTCATGTTTGGGATGTACAATTTTGTAAAAGCCTTTCTCTGGTCGACATCGCTTCGAGACAGTCGCTATATGGCGTTCAGTAAGATATGATATTATGATTACGCAAGTAAAATGACACCAAGTGGCAAGTGCGCTTGCGCAAACTCGTTTGAGCAAATGTCGCTCGCAATAGGCTTATGTTTTGGCATGACAAGCCATTAATTAATAGAAACCAGTTTTAAAACGGTTATATTTTTTCTCGAATTTAAGTGCTGTCTGAATGCGGGAAGCCGGGAAATGTTATTTCATAGAGAAAGTCAAGAATTTCGAATTCCCCATGGGTGGGTGGGAGCTTTAGTTGGGGGTACTGACGCTGTTCTTCTGAAAACTTAACCTTCCGATGAAATGGTATTAGACTAAAATGCTTGTATTTGATACCTACTATCCCTAGTGCTCGGGATGGTTCACACCACACAGCCAGAGGTCAATAATTAATGAATCAGTCATACTTATCACCAAAGTAACGATATATTTTTGCCCTCTTTCAGTCTTTCATCATATGAGTTTGTATATAATCTGGTTTTAAGTTTTTTTTGTTGGAATGATTACAGTCTTGATTTTGATATTTTACACACAATATCTTTATGCACAATATAGACCTCCTTTGAAAAGCACCTTTTCGATACTTAAAATATTTATTAACAAAGATATCAAGTATCTGATAAAGACTTTTATGTATTAACTATAATGCTATTTGTTTTGGTTTCATTTCGTCAGCGAGAGTCTTCTTGTGACATCAGATACCAAGAAACAATATAGCGGCCGAAATGGAGCGAGTGACCAAACTAATTAATTAGGTAGATTAAACTCATCCGATTGGTTAATGGCATAGCGCCGTAGCAGAGGCGCCGTAGGGGAAGTCAAAATCTGCACCTTTCTAATATAAAGAAGTAGGAGAACGTATAATATTGAGTTAGCTGCACCGATACGCAAGTACGCGAACAAGCGAATTATCGCACCTTAGGCGGCTACCCTGTATTAAACTACTATAACACTAACCACTTAAACCTTTAGAAAGGGTTTGACTATATACGAGGACGAAAAGAAGTTAGTATTTAAAGGTCCGGACGCGATTCGACAGCGCGACGCGATTTTTCGATTTTCATTGACCGATAACTTTGATCCTAGTTTACTGAATTTTCCAAACATTTAGAAGCGTTATAACATTTTGAGTTATTTGCTCTACTATCTTTTAAAATTTGCTCTCATTGGCTGTTTTATTAACTTTCAAAAACTAAAAAATCGCGTCGCGCTGTCGAATCGCGTCTGGTGTGCTTGGACTTTAAAGGTGACAGCGAAATGTGCTCGATGTGATTGAATTTTTTCAGTCCAATAACTTTCCACTGACAAGTAGTCGGCGTTCAGAAAGGTTTATAATCAGTGCATTTATACATTTACAACAATATATTACAAAAAAAGAACTATACAGCGTTTTCACATGACGTCACAGCCGCCATGTTGGTGTTCCAATTCAAAATAATTTTAATTCGACTCTTTTGTCTGGAACACCAACATGGCCGCCATGGCTTTTGTTGAGTTGGTCCCTGGGGAATGAGTGGAAACGCTCTATAGACTGCAAAAGATTATACATCAATTTGTTGAAGTTGTGTGGAAGTATGTTGGATTTAAAAATTACAGGAAAATATAGCATGACAATGAATTTGAATTTAAACTACATTATATATAGGTCTCCGCTCTTCAGTTTACACAACCATATCAAATTTCCATATTCAAAAATCATTATTGCAGGTTTGTTACACAGTTATTTAATTGGGGGGGGGGGCATGGCGCTCCCCTCCTCGTGTTTGCCATTGGTTGTATTAAAAAATCACTGGAAAATCTACAATCCTATACATAACGGGTTGAGACCCCCCCCCCCCAACAAAATTAGCATATTTTTATGATAAACTCTATGTTGAATCATGTTGCCCTTCTTAAGCCCCTGCACTCCCAACTCAATATTGAGCTTGTGTCATGGTATATTACCAAAAGTTGTTTCGGCGTTGTTCACGACATTGAACTGGGGGGGGGGGAGACAAAGTTTATTTTGTCAATGTTCAATAACTTTGTAATGTTGGCTGGAATGGTCTCAAGGGTTTTGTCCAAGATTGTAACATTGCAGTGAATATCAAAAGATATCTAAACAATGTGTCCACAATTTGGGCAATTGCAACTTTCTCCTTTTTTATCTATTTCTTTCTGAAGTAACTCAGCCACGTCAGCCCTTCTCAATTCACGGAGTTCCTTTACAAGTTTCTCGAGATAATTATTTCTGTCGTTATTCCAGTCGCATAACATACTTTTGGCACCATTGGTCTCGGTCTCGAATATCTTAAATGAAGGTAAAACAGCAGTGATGAAACGTGAATTCTCTGACTCGGTAACAACTAACACGTGAATGAATCAACCGAATTAACTATCATTAGTATAATTACATAGGTGATTATTGAAAATTCTCCATGCTGATTGGTTGCCGTTGAGGTGATTATAACGCGATAATGACCTAAGGCTAAGCGATTTTCAAAATGGCGGCCGAAGCCGTTTTGTCAATTAAATGACGAAGAAATGTGTATTTCTTATTCTTTTCCAAATAATCACCTATGAAATTATACTAAAACAATTATTCACCTCAGGCTCGGTGATTATCGTGAATAAAAACCTCGACTTCGTCTCGGTTTTTATTCACCGATAATCACCTCGCCTTCGGCGAATAATTGTTAATTAATAAGCGGGGGGAAATGCCAGAGGCCGGTTGTATAAAACTTTTAATCACTTTTTTAATCACTATTTTGTAGTTAAATAGTGATTAACTCTCAAATACGCGCTTCTTATACACTTTTTTCATAAATGGCTGCCGATTAAAAATTCTTTTATGTGCATATAAATTGGCCCGACTAGCCTCGTTTCTGGGTAGAAATTCCTTTGAAATTTTAACATGAGTACGAGGCTAGTTGGGCCAATTTATATGCACATAAAAGAATTTTTAATCGGCAGCCATTTATGAAAAGGGTGTATTGGATGACGTTTCCACTAATTGCAGTTAACTTTAATCACTTATTTATACAACCGGCCCCAGGCTGGTAAGCAAGAAATTAGCTTGGTTTTAAAACGTGAACTGATCCGAGACCACCTCTGGAGGTGATCTAGTTTAGATCGACATCTCGAATCGGTCACATCCCGATACGGCTCTGAATCGATTTCGGATCCGATGTAAAAGCCTTGATGACGAAAAGCATTTGTGCAAGTGTGGACTGACTCCACAAGAAGCCCAAGGAACCGGCCTCGCCGCCTCGGCGGAAGCATTTCGAAAGTGGAGGGGCATTGGCCAAAAGAGGCACTTTTGTATATGATCAAAATCAAACTATTTTATGCGGTCGTTCACGAGCCGAACGATAGAGTCTTTACTACTGCCAAAAGGGCACTTTCTTTCCAGCAAAAGAGGGCGTTTATTCAAGAAATACTTTTTTCGTTCGGTAAATGGGGCACTTTAGCCCAGAAAAAAGGGCACTTTTTCATTTTTAAAAAAAGTGGAGGGACAAAATTCTATTTGTAACCTAATACGTAATTTAAAAACACGAACCTGTACAATACTTTCCCTAGTCAAGGAAAATATGCAAAACAAACAAACTTTCTTACTTTGCCAGACGGTAAATCAAGGCTTTATAGTTTATTTGTTATTTTTGTTAATACAAGTATTTTTGAGCATTCACACTTGTTTTTTTTTGCCACAGATTGTCGTTTCTAGGGTGGGTGGGTATGAGAAAGAAACGTCAAATTGACGTTTCTCGTGGCAAGCTGAATATGGATGCTCCCCCTGATCGTGATCCATAGCCTATCGAAGGGAAGAGGGCTATGAAACTCATTAGAATAACAATATAGCTCATTCAGATCTATGTTAGTTAACGTTTATTCATAAATCGAATCCTTCGCCGTCACGTGTGTATTGTATTTTTGCCCAACTAACCATGCAATATCAATGTTTTAGAAGTTACCCTTCCGTGACTCGAACATTAAGGAAATCGGAAATTGCTATTGGTGGATTTGGCAAAAATATAATACACACGTGACGGTGAAGGACCAGATTTATGAATAAACGTTGACTAACATAGATAATGGGTTATATTGTTATTCTAATGAGTTTCACAGCCATCTTCCCTTCGATAGGCTATAGTTGAGCAAACTGGTTCTTTCATGCCGCCTTTCTGTAATAAATATAAAAATGTTTCCCATTTCTTACCAGAACCTGTTCTACATTATAACCAAGCCTTCCAGCTAAACCTTGCCAACCCCGACCCTGTACTTGATGAATCCTGAGCAAGTTACAAGCTTTGATAAACACTTCGGAGTTGATGTCAAATATCTTCAAATACTTTTTTTGGCACAACTCCTGTCCATCGCCTGGTGTTGACAGTGCTCCGCCTTTGCCTCCTGCTAATAAGTGAAAATCCGCAAATGTTATTGATTCTTGTAAATTGGTGTTTTGTACAAAATTTCCTCCAATGCCGCATGCAGTCTCAAAATGTCTGTTTTCCTTGGAATCTGTTTCTTAAATTGTCGGGTGATCGTGGCGACCCTTAATGAGTAAGATGGTCTGGCGTTAGCCAGTCAGAATAAAAAAACCTAAGAGTCGCGACTCACAGGCTTAATTATATAACGTGTTTGTACCGCTTTGAATGAATGAATGACCTTCATAACTATGCCATTGCGAAGTACACACGTAAAAACGCACAAGTTGTTACAGGTCTGCAAACAAGTTGTTACAAATCTGTTCACAAGCTGTCGACAAGTTGTCTTCGCACTGCTTGTTCCCAGTTGTTGTAACAAGTTTGAAACAAGGTTTTAACCAATTGTAACAAGCTTGGTAGCATTATCAGACTTGTCACAAGGTTGCTCTAACAAGTCTAATGCAGTCATGATATAACAAGAATGTTACAAGGTTGACGACACAATTAGGTTGTAACAATACTGCTATATCATGACTGTATCGGACTTGTTGAAACAACCTTGCAGCAAGCCTAAAAATATCAACAGGGTTGTTACAAATTGTTAACAGCTTGTTCCAAACTTGTTGACAACTTGGGACAAGCAGTGTGAAGACAACTTGTTGACGGCTTGTTGGCAGACTTGCTACAAGATGTGAGATTTTTGCGTGTGTAGCAGCAAATGATATTCGTTTTTGTCTTGTAAAACAGTCACGTGTGAGTGCTTGATTAGCGCGTGCATTTGTTGTAATATCTGAATTTGTAATGACTTTTCTTCCAAACTTCATAACCTTACTTTTCGCCGCATGACTATGTTTGAAAAAAGGTGTTACAATACTCATAAATGGTATGGAAACGCTTAAAATTTCCACTAAATATGTTTGCTAATAAATCAACATATACCATTATTATCTCGCCGCTCGAATTCCAATCTCTGCATGCCCGTGACAACAGAATGTGCATGATTATCATCTTTGTAGGAAGATCCAGTGTATTCAGATTCTTGCAAAGGGTTTTCTACAGGAGGAAAATGGTATAAATATAACAGGGCTCATCGCAGGGCCGTATAGGAAGCTTGATAAACATTCTTAAAATTTTACCATTTTTATAACCTTTTAGAGTTTTATCCTGATTAAACAAAAAAGACAAACGTTTTAAATGAGAGATGAAAGTTTAGAAAAACTATTAAAACTGTCCATGTCACGGATTTAGAGTTTTAAATCTGTACTCTAACCAAAATACCAATGCTGGTAGGCTTGTTATTTCAAAGTCTCTAAATTTACTTTTCACTTGCATGTGATTTTCCTGCATGAGTCGTATAAAATCTGCAGCGAGGCCTAAGGAAGGCGGTCGGGAATTACTGTGAGCTCGCAAGCCCAAAATAAGCCAATCTCCTTCCCAGGCTTTTCCCTGTTATTTTTTTTTCTTCTAGAAGAGAGAAAATTAAGCCTGTAATAATAGATATAGAATCATAGAATGCGTACTCCTATTTTTTCCAGTGATCCTTTCTCAGTGAAAATTTGTCTCCACAAAATGGCGGATTTCAAAGGGCATTTTGACTCGCTCCAGACTTCTGGGCGGTTGCGGGGGGTACGAAAATGAGTGCGAGTCATTGTCATTGAATTGTTTTTTTTTTTCAATAAAGTTTGCAAAAAAATTTAATATCCAGTTTAAAAATGGCAAAAATAACTTTCGTAAAGGAGATAGTCATTTTGAAAACCCATTCCAATGGGTTATTTCAAGTTATTTCTGAACAGAACACCGTTTTCAGTCTAATGAGTAATGAGTTTCACAGCCATCTTTTTTTCAATAAGCTATGCTATAGTGAATCGCCTCGTGCAGCTCTAGCTACCCTTTTTGATAAAAGAACAACAAAAATGAATTAAATGGGCATTAGAGACACGTCTACATAAATTCACAAACCTGATGGTTCATTTGTTGCCTTTTTTGTAAGACTATTTTTCCAGTCTACATTTTCTGCAAATATTAAGCATTTATTAAAATACGAGACATAACGTTACACGACTTAAAAGGCAATATTTGCTGCAAAATCTACACAGAATGAGATAAAAATTATACTGGGGTCAGACACTGAGTGTAAAAATATAGCTGAGTGGGGTTAGACCACTAGTGGGTTAGACCACTTATCCTACGTGACCATCGCTACGTTGTCATATTTTCCACACAAAAAACGGGAGAAAAACAGGTCGTTTTTACAATATAGTCGTAAAAAATTTATAGCTTTCGCTGTGGGCACAAAATCTTCAAATACACTCAAAAATCGTTACAAATCGAAATAAGCAACAAGAAACAAGCGGTCAAAGTCGACAAAATGCCAATGGCGTCTGAATGGACCTTTCCCCTTATAACTAAAATTTTAATCTAGACAAAAATTTCACCACAGCTTGAAAGAGCATCACAAAATTAGTAATATTCCAAAGTTTCGTTGCGAAATGTTGTAAAATGCGGATAATATAGGCTTGGGAAGTTTTCCGTTTTCAGTCAATTTGTATTACGCATGAGAAATTGACAGCCCAATCGGGTGTTGGGGCATCAATTACCCGTTTCACTGGCCGTTTGTAATACAAAATGACTGAAAATTGCAAATTTCGCAAGGCTATATTATCCGCATTTTACAACATTTCGCAAAGAAACTTGGAATATTACTAATTTTGTGATGCTCTATCAAGCTGTGATGATTTTTTTGTCTAGACTTGTCTTGATCAAAATTTTAGTTATAAGGGGAAATTAGGTCCATTTGGTTTGTCAAGCAGCTTTCGCTTGTTTTCCCGAGTTTAATTAAAGCTAATTCCCATTTCCTGGGACACGTGGCCCCGATTTATGAATAAGGTCTTAGACTTAGCAAAGCATCGGTAGTCCTGACAATATTAATTGGTTTGATACATGGTACGGTCATGGAAATTTGTTTGCGTAGAGTCTGTAGACGAACTATGCAGATAGATCGCCTAGCTTGACGGATGATCTTCATGACTTTCTCCAAGTTGGTCCAGAAGGATCATCCATTTCCAATACGTATTGAAAACAAAAAAGGGGGTAGATAAGTACAGATTTTAGGTCTTTCAGAGTTTACACAACTTACCCCCTGTTGTTTTTGACATATATACCGCGATAAATATAAATATTTCAGTTGCCTATTTGGCAATCTATACTTTATAGCTATCAGCATATTAAACATCTTATCAATTAATTTCTTAATTAATTATAAACCTTTTAATCTTTTACTAGCTACTAGTTGGGCCCCCCTTGTTGTGGCAAATTTAGATTGAATCGACTGCGAATTTCAAAGCAGACTCGAAGCGTAGATTACTTAATTGCATTAGCCATTACGTATTGCAACATCTTTTTCTAGAATTACTCATAATTCTAAGACTTTATGAGGAACGAGCGAGTAGAATGAATATCCGTAACATCTGTAAAGACTGTGAACTATTTTCGTAAACGCTACACGAAGGGCCTTCGCTTGAAACGTCGAAATTCTCCTTATATTTTTAGGTAGCTGCATCCTTATTCCCTACCAACGGAAGCTTGTTCATCCTCTGCCGGTAAGCAATATAAATACCTTAATGAAGACCACTATTAACGAATTAGGATGGGGAATTCATTAATAAACATTTTAATATCAATACATACCAGCCATTCTTAATCTGATGTCGAGTACCGTCAATACTGTAAGTACTGTTTATATCTGAGTGTTCAAAGCCGATATCACAGGCCTTCGCATATACGTTCCACCCACTGCGCACGTTTATGATCCTCAAAAACAGGAATTTTGTGTAGTTTTGGTGGATTTTTCAAGGAAAAAAGATTCCAATGAAGACAGATTATTAAATACTTGATATCTGTCGTAATTATTATTACAGCATCCATGACACCCAAAATTTCAATTTTTTTGGGGGTGAAATTGTAATATAGTGAATCGCATTGGTGCTCAATGAATAAATATTTAATTAAAAGGTAAATTAGACAATTTTCAAAGTTAGTGTAGGTAATTATGCGATGGCGAGTACAATTAGGGATTAATAGTACGAGTGATGTTTGAGAACTATACTACAGTTAACAACAAAGACCAAGATATTTACAAGTCTTACAAGATCTCACTGCATGCATGGTCTACTTTCTAGACCCTGTGAAGATATATTTAAGAAAACCATTTACTTAAATGAGATAAAGAAAAATTACACAACACAAAATCACAACTGGACTGTGCAAATCTTATTACCAATTCCTAATTTGCAATATTGCGGTATGGTCAAATCCGACCCTGTCATAAATGCACATCATGAAATCACACCTATCAATTACTAAGTAACATTTTTTTTTACATACAGTAAATGCTAGCTTCAATCACGGTATTTCTACAATGGATTGACATATAAAGACATAAAACAGCGCACCGTTATACACGCGCGTGCACCTCTTATACGGTGTTTCACGGCATGGTCTGTTTTCAAGACTCCGTTGAAAATATAACGGAAATCCATTAGATATATAATGAATATAAGTAAACCACAGGTCCAAGACGCATGTAGAGGTCCTATTACCTATCACAAAATTAAAATAGAACGCGTTCCCCGCGCAGGACAAACTTTACAGTCTGGCCTACACTGGATGACCATGTTAGACATATTTTATTCAGGTAGTTCAGACACAAACCATGGCAACTTATTGTAGAATACTACCTACACTAGACCACCACGTTTGAGATATCTTTTTCAGGTAGTTCAGACACACACCACGGCAGCTTATTGTACCGGGATACTACCTACACTAGACCACCACGTTTGAGATATCTTTTTCAGGCAGTTCAGACACAAACCACGACTGCTATTGTAGAATACTATACCTACACTAGACCACCACGTTTGATATATCTTTTTCAGGTAGTTCAGACACAAACTACGACAGCTTATTGTAGAATACTACCTACACTGGACCACCACGTTTGAGATATCTTTTTCAGGTAGTTCAGACACAAACCACGACAGCTTATTGTAGAATACTACCTACACTGGACCACCACGTTTGAGATATCTTTTTCAGGTAGTTCAGACACAAACTACGACAGCTTATTGTAGAATACTACCTGCACTGAACCACCACGTTTGAGATATCTTTTTCAGGTAGTTCAGACACAAACCACGACAGCTTATTGTAGAATACTACCTACACTGGACCACCACGTTTGAGATATCTTTTTCAGGTAGTTCAGACACAAACCACGACAGCTTATTGTAGAATACTACCTACACTGGACCACCACGTTTGAGATATCGTTTTCAGGTAGTTCAGACACAAACTACGACAGCTTATTGTAGAATACTACCTACACTGGACCACCACGTTTGAGATATCTTTTTCAGGTAGTTCAGACACAAACCACGACAGCTTATTGTAGAATACTACCTACACTGGGCCACCACGTTTGAGATATCTTTCAGTTCATGCAGGTAGTTCAGACACAAACCACGACAGCTTATTGTAGAATACTACCCACACTGGACCACCACGTTTGAAATATCTTTTTTAGGTAGTTCAGACATAAACCACAGCAGCTTATTGTAGAATACTACCCACACTGGACCACCACGTTTGAGATATCTTTTTTAGGTAGTTCAGACACAAACCACAGCACCTTATTGTAGAATACTACAGTATACCTACACTGAATTAACCACCACGTTCGAGATTTTTTTTCCCAGGACGTTCAGGCATAAACCATGCCAGCTTATCTATACTGGGCTTCCATGTTTGTTTATATACTATTAAATAGCTATATAACATTTTCATTAATGTCATATCCAGGTGTTAGCGGGTACCAACAAGAAAATCTTGTAACAGCAATTCAAACTGCCAAAGATTATGGTTAGTTTTGTAACTTTTGTTACCAAAAAGAACACAATTAGCCTTACCCACACCGCCATTTTTGGGTGGCAATTCAGTCGAAGTCTGCAAGATATATAAGTCCACATAACCACAACTTTTTATAATTTTTTGTACGAATGATGGTAAATTTGCTTTGTAAAATATGGTTAGTTTATTTTGAAAAATTGCTTTTTACATTGTTTTAATTGTCTGCATTGGTTAACGAGCCGTACATGCCATGCACTGAAAAATGACGTATATTCGTCATCGTGAGAAAGGCTAATTGCACATTTTTATACTACATTTACATCAAGAGTAAATTAATTAACCTGTTTTGATATATAGGTTTGTTACCATATACAGTATTCCAGGACCAAGAAGTATTGCAAAACCAGCTAAACATGCTGAAATACCCGTCAATGTTATAAACTGAAGTAAAATGTAGCAGAAGTCAGAAAGTTAGGCTGAATCTAGGGATAGTGTGTGAGGGGCAGGTGGGCCACCCATTGAGATAAAGTCAGCACTCTGTCAGAAAAAGCCAGCGTCAACCAGTCTGAATGCACCGTCTTGATCATCACCTTGCCTTTATTAGGCTATTAAGCTGTTGTCCTGACAATTTCATAAAAATGAAATTTGTCAAAATGATCTTTATGAAATGGTCACATCTTTAAAACGGACGCGATCGGCGCCTTTCTTAATGTCCAAAACTTTCAATGTTTTGTAAACGGTTATCAAAAATAACTATAAAACTAATACAAAATATGCCTCTAAACAGCTCAACTGTTTATGGAAATTTTAAAACTAAAAAAAATTTCCACCCAATTACATAACGATAAAAAATAGAATTAAATATATACAAAATTAGGGCTAGGAACCTTCCAGAAACTAAAAGGCTTTTGTTTAAGGTCCCTAGGTAATAAGTGTATAACTAGTATAGTAAATGCTGATTTGCTCCTTAATTTGACGATATATGAAAACGGCCTCATCTTTCCATATTAACAACCCCGCGGTTAAATACAATCGTGCGCTCCTAACCCATCGTAACTGTAAGCTCAACACTAACTTAATCGTTGTGACGTCATTATTGTAAATATTATGAATAAATCCTTGTTTCTGTCACAAATATATTTCTTTGATCTTGACCGTAATCACAACCCATCCCTAACCCTGCATGGCTTTATTGTGCGCGAAACGTGAGAAACTATAACCATGCATAAACTATTTCTTAATCTTACTATATGCTACCTAATATCTGTGACATCAGAAAGACAATAGTATGGAAACTTGTACCCATTTTTGGAACCTTTTCACTAGACCACAATATCAGTTAATAATTATTTTAAGACCACACAAATTATTCAATGTTTTTAATTACACAACAGCGGTACACTGTATCACTATATTGAAGGCACAGTGCAGCCTTTTGAACGATGGTTTTTAAGGCGCATTTCAGCCCTTTTAATTGAAAAACTAACTAGGAAAATCAATTTAGCATATTCAAAATCAGCAAACTCAATGTTTTTAACAATAAAAATGTTTTAGAATGTTAAAAACATTAAGTTTGCTGATCTTGAATTATGCTTAATTGATTTTCCTAGTTAGTTTTTTCAATTAAAAGGGCTGAAATGCGTCTTAAAAACCATCGTTCAAAAGGCTGAACTGTGCCTTTAAAGACCATGTACAAACATTACTTCAAACTATCACACGGCCACAACTGTACAGTGAGTGCGCGGTATGAACCATCCAAAACACGAGCATCGAGTGCTTTAGTGTTTAAAAAGGTGACAGTGAAATGCATAGGCGTACCGGAAGGAAAAATTTAGGGGGGCGGAAAGAAAATTGCCCGACTTTTCGGGATTGTGCCCGACTAGTACCGAAAAATTTTTTCCGGAAAAATTATTTTGGAGACCTCCCCCCCCCCACCCCCTCAGTGTACCATTTTAGGGGTCAAAAAAATTTTCATGACAACCAAAATTTTTCGGAACATAAGGCAAATTTTCCCAAAAACCCCAAATTTGCCACAAAATTTACTTAATTTTAGACAAAATTTACAGAATTTGTCCCATTTTTTTTTATAGCAAACCAAAATTGCCCGACTGTTGATCGAATATTGCCCGACTGCCCAACAAACTGGGGGGTTGCCGCCCCCCCCCGCCCGGTACGCCTATGGTGAAATGTGCACGATGTCATTGAATTTGTTTTGTCCAATTAATAACGTTCCATGCACTGACAAGTAGTATCATTTACTCGGTTAGAAAGGTTTATATTCAGTACATTACATTTACAACAATATATTAAAAAAAAACGAACTATAGACTGCCAAAAATTATAACAAATGTCTTGAACCATGCTTGTATTCTGTACATTCTTCACCGTCAATTTGCTACAGCCATCAATTTCAGTGTTGAAGTATGTTGGATTAAAAGATTACAGGAAAATATAGCATGACAATGAATTTGAATTTAAATTACATTATACATGTCCACAATCTGGGCAGTTGCAACTGTCTCCTTTCTTGTCTATTTCTTTCTGAAGTAAATCAGCAACATCCGCTCTTCTCATATCACGAAGTTCCTTTACAACACGTTCGAGGTAATTATGCTGGTTACTATCCCAGTCCTTTAACATAGTTTCGGCATGATTTTCCTTGCACCCAAATATCTTAAATGAAGGTAAAACAACGCCGATGAAACATGAATTTTCTGTAATGTTTTTAGATGCACATGCATTATAGCTATATATAACACCGCGGAAAAACGTCTGCGCATGCACCAAATTACGAAAATATGGCGGGGAATTTGAATATCAATTTCTAAAACAAAAACATGCTTATTAATTGGTCAAAAATTAGTAAAACAAACGAGAAAATATAGCAAATGGATAGACTAGACATTAATTGAAAGCGTCCTGGCATTTAAAGTATGGAATGAAATATAATTCATGTAAAAAATTGTTGATTTTAACGGACACGACTTCGAAAATTTTTGCAAAATTATTCAAAACAAAAATTCAAACTAAAAAGTAAATTGTAGAATAAATCCTAAAGTTTAATTATTGTGAACACGAAAATTTTTTATATTTGGCGACACAGTTTTTTTTAAAGAAATGTATCTCAAACAATGAAGTCACTTCTTTTTACCGCCATTTTGAGCCTTCGGAAACGTTCGGCACAGCTTCTCATCAACTTCGCAATACTATTACAGGTAAGGTTGACGCATGCGCAGACGTTTTTCCGCGGTGTTGCCATATATAAAAGTCGAATACGAGCGCGAAGGCTGCTGGGAATCTCTTTGAAAACTCATTAATTTGTTAGCGATTCCCAGCAGCCTTTCGCGCTCGTATTCGACTTTTCCGCTTTGCTCGTGGACAACCTAAATTGAAATAACTGTATACTAAGGTGCATTGTAGCTTGTAACTGGACTTTTTTCCACTTCAGCTAAAGGTTTTATACGAATCAATCTATTTGTCAGGGACCAGGGTAAAGTGGTGATTGTATATTTTAGGTGCTTATTTAGTTGCTTAAATTTCAGGCTGGCAGCTCCTTATCGGTTTATCACTGGGTCCTGGCTCTTTTATCTCAGTTTTTCTGTAGTAAATATTCGTTGCCGATTATAAGTTACTTTTCAACGCGCGGTTCCCAAGGCCAAGTTCGTTGCAAACTTGCCAATTACATTTCCATTTCAAAAATTGGGCGTGGATTTCGCAACGAAGTTCGCAAGTACATTTCAGTGTTGAACTATTGTATAAAAAAATGTTCATAGTTCATTTTGAAATTAACAATATAAATGGAGAGTTCTTGGTCCAGTGGGCTACCAGGAAGGTTTGTATTTCATTGAATTGGTTGTTATTGAGTATAAACATTTGTTTACAATAGTGATCAAACATTGAAATGAACTTGCGAACTTTGTTGAAACGTTCGCAACGAACTTAGGACTCGCTCGTTGAAAAGTGACTTGAAATCGACAATTGTATACTGAATTTCTCAACTTGAATTGCTCCAGTTCGTACCTGAACATCTGTTACATTATAGTCGAGTTGCCCAGCTAACATTCGCCAATCTTGGCCCATCACGTGTTCAATGTTAAGTAGGTTGCACGCTCTGATGAAAACTTTGGGATTAATGTTGCCAATCTTCAAACACTTTTTGCCACACAACTTTTCGTCTATGTTCGGTACTGTACTTCCTACAAATAAGAAAATAACAAGAGTGTAAAATAATTGATGTTCACTGCATGTAAAATGTCTCATCTTTCGCAGCCTATATATGTTCCCATATGGTATGTACAGTATTATAGTTACTTGATGTTTGTGGTTCCCTCCGCTTTGATTTATCGAGCATGCCTTGCTGTGTTTCTTTTACCATCCTGGATTTGTAATGGTTCTCATCGGAAAGAACACCAACAATAGCACCAGGAACGTCGTCTTGGCAATGAAAATTTTTCAGATTTTTAAAATTATAAAGTAAAAGTACTACTACTGTATATATATAAGCTGTTTTTGTGGAAACACCACGTTTTTCATACCCGATTTATAAGCCTGGAAGAGATTTTCTACCCGGAACTAAATAAATTGGAAAAGTCACCTTGAAAAACAGGAGGAGCCGGTCAGCGTCACCTTATTTCCCCTCTGTGATGCTGGGGGAAGAAAATCCCAATGTGATTTTGATCAGAAATGTTGCATTTAAATCATTCTAGGTTCTATGAGACAGCATTTCCGCATTCTCAAAATTGCGTTGCTTTTTTATACGATACAGAATAAGTCTGAGAAGAATATTCATGCTATGATATATTAAATGCATACATGTAAATCTAAACTAAATATATTCTTCTTGGAACCATATCTACAACTGCTTTAATGAGATTTTACAAATCGTATTCCTCAGTCGAGACGTATTTAATCAGTTTCAGCTTCGAGGAGGATATAACGTGTACACCCCCCTCCCCCCCCAATTTCTCTACGGATTTAGCCTTTTTCAGATAATGATTTTTTTTCGATTGGGGGAGGGGCGGTCGCCCACCCCTTGGCTACGACACTGGTTATAATCATGCGGGTTTCTTTGTATTCAATTTAAGTGACATAGGGTCATGCATGCATGTAAAACAACACATGCAAGTCAATGTATAATCTCCTTCAAAAAAGGCCTATATATATTTAACATATGTAGCGCCTAGTGGCACAAATATTTTTTTTGTAAAATTAGAAAAATATACCATTATTGTATAGCCCCATATTCGGCGTGTCTTCGCCTTCGGCAACGCCAGATTGATCACCATGTGCAGAAACTGAGAAGTAAAAGGATTCTACATAATGAAATAGTGTATTACAGTGAACATAGCAGAATAACTACTTTTGCAACTGACATGGAAGCGTTCTTGTTTAAAATTAAATCAACAGTTGACTGGTGTACAGTTAAAAAAATGTATTGTAAACAATACGCAAGTGATATTAACTATTTCAAAGCTCCCAAATTTGCTTTCCACCTCAAAAAAGTATGAGTTATTTAAGAAGATATTGTTGTGAGATATTTGGCAGAGTGCGATAGTTGCTGTACAGTACCTACGTACCGGAGGTGCACCAATATTACGGTCTGGTACTAATTTGTTTTCAGCCAAGTCCGACGTATAGGTACATTTTGCTGGTACCATACCAGACCAGCAAACTTGCCAAAGTAATCAAAACCGTAATTTAGTTGATGAAACAATTAAGATGGCACCGCTGAAGAATGCCCAAGTCAATTATGCAGTGTTTGCACAGGTTATTGAATGAATACACAGCCAATTCAAAAAAGGTTGTCTTTTGCAAACTCTAAACTTTAAACCTAAAACTCTAAGCGTGCAAAGCATAATGGGAGCATAATTTAATCAGTTTGGAAATCATATATATGGAGCCCATTTTTTAGAGAAATGGTGAATAACTAAATATCTCCTTACGAGAACAATTCATTCACAAATAGGTGCAATATTCAACTAATAAGATTGAAACTTGTGCTCCGCCCATTAAGCTTTGTGTGCTTAGAATGTATGTAAGGTTTAGAGTTTAAAAAGGACAACCTTTTTGAATTGGCTGTATACCTTTTAGAAAACTGTGCTTTATGCATATATAAGTACATCTTCTTAAGTTTGTACCAGCGCAAGTACGAGCGTACCAGCGTAATAATCATCCACGTGCTAGTCAGGTTTGACTAAAAATCCTGAATTAACGCGCACCCTGTGTTTAATTACCTAAACGTCAGCCTGGTGTATCTCAGCGGGCACAGAATAAAGACATACAGAAGTGTATCTTCTTATTAAAAGTGCGTAAGGGATTTTTTCAGTCAGCCATGTTCTTAGCAAGTGCCCTAAAGAGAGGCAGTCACCCCCTTGAAAACATATTGAAAATGTAATATTCCAGGGGGGTGAATGCTTCTCTTTAGGGCACTTGCTAAGAACATGGCCGCCAGCTATTTCGGTAAAAAAGCGCCTTACGGTTTTGTAATGGAAGTTACACTTCTGTATGTCTTTATTCTGTGATGCGGGCTTATACTGTCAACATTATTTACCAACCTGTTGGTTCATTTGTAACCCTTACTGCAGGGCTATCTGTCCAATCTTCATTTTCATTACCTGTGTATAAATATTAACCATTTATGCATGGTGGTGACGCGCAGCCTAGTCCCAAGGCCTCTTAGTCCGCGTTCTCATTAATAATAAACAGATTTAGAAAAGACGACGCGACCTCAAAGACGACGTGAAAATGGCGTGTTCTGTCCATTTATGGATGTGCCACGCCATTTTCACGTCGTCTTTGAGGTCGCGTCGTCTTTTCTATTCTGTCTATTCTTACGTCACGGGGAAAACGCGTGCACAGAGGACTAGCTAGGGACTAATCTGGTTGCAAAATTAAACTTCATAGTCATAAGAACCTCGTTTGTATGAAGAATATTGAGGCTGAAATACGAGATTCCCCTTATTACGTTTTCGTAGCCCTTTGCATTGTGGTTACTGAGTGGTTGATCTGATTTTCAAGATGGCTTATTTTTTGTCCTGACCAGTGCAAGAACTTTTAAAAAAGCTAGGGTCAGGTGCTCGATAGACAACAGCAAAATTTCGCTAAAGCATTCAATATTTTCATTCGAGGCCGCTATCTTTATCAGCGATACCACTATAACCACAATGCAAAGCGGTACGAAAACGTAATAAGGGGAATCATCAATTAGCAAAATTTTAAAACTATAGTAAGAATACACCCAAGGCTTTTGCAGCTGGCAAGGCTTTTGCAGCTAAAATTGCCTTGTTCCCTTGTCTACCAATTTCAATCAATGTATAAAGCCCTTTTCATACGCCGTACTTCACATGTGCTGAATACATTAAAAACAATAGATAATGAGGCATTTCAGCTCATTATCTATTCTCTTTAATGTATTCGGCACATGTGAAGTACGGCGTATGAAACGGGCCTAAAACGTAGAATATGGGATTGACAATCAGTACATACAGTAGTTTGGTCAAGATATGATGGTCCAGAAGCCCGGCAAACTTCAAAGCCACAAAATGAAAGACCTTTGTTTGATATTGAACGCCGTTCTTCAGTATTGGAAATTACTTAATCATGCGAAAATACAATGAGTTGAGTTAGGGAAGCCTCACATATCGATTTTGTCCACGAGAAACGTCATATGTTCGTTTCTCTGGAGACCCCCCCCCCCCCGG